TCTTGTACTGGTTGAACATTATTGTAAAAATAGTTTGTCCAGGTAAAAGATATGTTGTTTATTGTACGTAATTGTTTTCATATTCATTCTTATCTTGTTTGAGGAAACTCCAATGCATATCCAATATCTTAATTAATATTTCTTCATTCGTTTCCTATTTGAAAGGCTGGTATAATCCAATCTTCGGTCTGAATTTCATCCATTCTTATTATGTCTAAAAGTTAAGATTAAAATATCAATACCAAACAAATATTTTATTTAAAAAAATAATAATTTACATTCGTATATATGCCATCCCACACCACCGCCATCAATAGGCAGGAGGAGCTAGGGGAAAATTATTTTTAAATTTAAGTTTCTGATTATCAGTTACGAAACTTTTTGGCTCTGATAGAAAATTAAATGGTGAATAGAGATAATCCTTTTCCATTATTAATTCGAGAAACTGTTGTATTTTCATGAATAAATGAGTTGGTTTACACAAGTGGGAGAAATTTAACAGACAAGAGGACGAACAAACACGAACGTATTAGATTTAATCAATGACATATACAAGAAGAAAAAAGAGGCGATTGCAAGCTTTTAGTCGAGCTTTCGGGGCCAAACTTATCTTAAAGGAAGAGCCCGCTTAATTTGATTCAAGATGTTAGCTTTACTTTCGACTAAGAAGGCTCCAGTGCCGAACACACGTCTTTCTTGGGCGTCTTCATGATTCCTTTTGGACGAATGGTCGGGTAGCGTGAACGAAGTTCAATGGAAGAGAGGAAAGTGAAGTTTTCTTATTTCATTTTATTTTGTTTATTCTGAACTCGATTTTATTTAAGTGTATTCATATATTCATATTCATATTAAGTGTATTCTATATTTTGGCTTGTAATCATATTTTGCTTGCCTAAACAGTCTGAACAAAATTTGGAATTATTTGTACGTATATGTCACCATATTTCTTGTACAAAAAAGCTCAAATAATGTTAATTTCCTGCTTGATTTTATTTTGATAGAGTATATTTTAATTTATACTTAGTTAAATATTAAAGGATACTATCATACTGCCCGTTCCATAACTAACTCTACCCAAACGCATATATTCGGAGTTAATAACCCTAATTTTATTTACTACTAGCAGTAGAGTTCGGCGTTGCCCGGGGATGTAACAGTAAGAGATAGATCAAGTATCGACCATCATAAAGACTGAAAAATAAAATTGACAAAGATTATTGTTTAAGGTTGACGGACACGCATGTCTTAATTAGTTTTTTTTGTTTTGTTTTTTTTTTTTTTACGAATTGGTCAAACCCAAACTCAAACAAAAACATTGTTTTCAATCACTATGAGTCTATCGATTGAATAGAAATTTATTATAAACAATTGTACTGTAAATGGAATTTTTAAAGCATCCTGAATATAAAAATAAAGAAAAAAGTGTGCAAGACAATAAGAAACACTACCTGCCAAAAAAAAGTGAAGTTTTGTTGAAATCGGTTGAAAAATGTAGGAAATCCGATCCCATATATAAACACACACACACACACACACACACACACACACACACACACACACACACAACCTGGGTTTTATAATAAGTATAACTCGATATGAGTTGTCCCCCTTTCATTCTGGCGACAGAATCGTGTTTTATCGTGTTTTCAAATTGATTTCATGCAAAAACGATTGTGTTTTTCCAATTTTTGCCGCTGTCAGAACCACCACAAGGTAATTTTACGCAGTCCTGTAAAGTTTTGTTGAAATCGGTCGAAAAATGTAGGAAATCCGATCCAATATATAAACGTACACACACACACACACACACACAGACACACACACACACACACACACTCTGCATTTTATAATAAATAAGATTTATTTACTTTTTTCCTACTTGGGATAGGGTTTCGTTTCCGGTTCCTTCTAAGGACGGCTGCGGCTTTATACTTCTAACGTCTCCGCCTAAACTCCGAAATTATATTCATGAGTTATTTATTTATCATTTCTTTTTCCTTCCTTAACTCCCAATAGGATTAGATATGTCCGCCTATCATTCTGTACACAATCCTCTCCGGTTTTTTGAACAGGTGTAGGCTTTTATCAATTGTTTCCTATTTAGAATTCAGTTTCCGGTTCCTTCTAAAGTCTACTTGTAACATCCCCGACTGAACTCTGGAATGTTATTCACTAATTAAATCTTGATGTCTTCTTGCCTAGAGTTATCTGTTCTCTTTATTACATAGCCCCAAAACTTCAGTTCTTGCTTTTCATACGCTCATAGAACTCCACACATTAACCCTCTACTTTGAGTGGTTCTTGGGCCTTGTATTGGAGAACATTAGTATAAAAAAAAAATTAAGCAAAAGAGGAAGAGCTGAATGTTGAGGTGTTTGTTGCCAACAAAAACTGGCTTTTGATTGGTTGGTAGAATGTGCGGGTGCAAAGTAGGGAAAGATAACTCTTCCGTTATAACTTTTTAAGTCAATGTAAGAAGTTGCTTTGAATTGAAAAAAAAAATATTTAAAATTGTATTTTGCTTCGGAGTTACTTGTTACTGACCTATTTTATTTTAAAGAAATAATTAAAATTTAAATTTGTAGCCTCCCTCCAAAAGCACAACCGATAGCCACGAGGGTCTAGGACAAAATATAATTTTTTATTTAAAATTCAAGTTTCTAATTATCAGCTTTTTGGCTCGAAAATTAAATGGTGAATAGAGATATTCTATAAAAATTTTAACTCCATTAAAAAATGTAAATTCTTGTGCTAACCACAAAAACCTAGTTAGTAGGAATAGAAAGGGAAAAGAGAACTATTGCTTCTTTCCTCCATGAGGTTCGTTACAATAGGCACAAATCACAAAATAAAACGAAACCATTGCGTAAAATTTTAAAGGAAACACATTTTTACACAAGTAAAGCAAAAAAAAAAAAAAGATATAAATACAAAATTTGCACAAAAATCTCCTTTTGTGTGGAGTAATGAATAGCGGCTCGGATTGAGGAATCGAAGAGCCGAGTTCGAATTCCAGTCGAATCCATTACATTCACTTATGTGCTAAATACCATTGGGAAAGGTATGAATCCTCTTCTTTCTCTCACCCACCCCCCAGCTATGGGCAAATAGCAGGTCAGGTTATGTAGCCTTGGATGGCAACTGGTCTACCACAGAAAGAAATAGCAACCTACTGCGGTAAAAAATCTGCCTCGTCAGCGTGATACACGCTTAGGCGATCATGTATCTTTTGATATATGATCGTCTGAGCGTGTATCATGCATATAGCCAATAACTGACTGATTAAGGCAGGATAACAAATGTTATGTTTTTGATGTTTCGTAATTTTGATGTTTCGTAAAAGGATTACCATAGAAAAATGGAAAAAATTACAATTTCAACTTAGAAAAAAGCACAGGGGTTCAATGCCCAAAAGAAAACAATTCAAGTTGGCAGAAAAACAAAGATGCAGCCACCTTAAAAAAAAAAAAAATTAAAACACCTACTTTTACTTGTCACGAGCGTCTCTGGGACATGACATATATAATAATTTTAGGAAAGTTCTATTTTATATCACACTGTTCATGATTGGGGAAATTTCTTTGAATACTTTTCATTCTATGTTGTCCAACCGCAGGAGAATTTTTACTTGAACGTCAAAGTTCTTTAGTCTCTCTGCAGCTGGCGCTGTACCCCTAGCATTCTTGTTGCTCTCTTCTTGAAGTCAAATGCCTTCTGCTCCTTGATGTTAATTTGCCTTGTCTATTTTCTGTCAAAAAGTCTTCTCTTCGTCCACTGATGTATTTATTTAGAAAAAAGAGGCTCACAGAAAACTCCATTCAATTTTTTACTTGGGCTTAATACCACGTCTCTCATTGGTCAGTATATACTTGGACTTAATACCACGTCTCTCATTGGTCAGTATATACTTGGACTTAATACCACGTCTCTCATTGGTCAGTATATACGAAAAACAATTATACGATATACGAGTGTAACAGTGTTTTTTTCTACAAACCGACTGGCCTTCATAAAAATACAAGATGTACTAAAAACAACCTAGACATTTATTAAAGACTAAGATTTTTAAAGTTGTAAAAAAAGAGGTTTTATAATTCCACTCTCTCGATTAACTCGAGAAAGTCAATGTAAGAAGTTACTTTAAATTTAATAATAATAATAATGATGATGATGATGATGATGATGATTATAATTGTATTTTGTTTGAAAGTGACTTGTTATCGATGTTTTATTTAAAATAAAAAAGGAAAAAAAAATTACATTCGTAGATATTGCCTCCCAACCCCACCGATAGGTTTGTAGAGGGCCCGTGGCGGTTACGGTTTGTTGAGGGTTCATGGCGTGGCTGTCAGGTTGTGGATAGAAGTCAGACGTAGAAGAAACGCAAGGTTCAGATACTCCTGCCCGCCGAGCCCAACTACATAAAAAGGTTGGACTTTGATTAAGTCCAAAGAAGAAGGAAAAGAAAGCAAACAAAACAAGACCGATAATATATGTATACACAAATATATATTCATAACAAGTTACAATACAGGGAAACAGTACAAAGGACGAAGTGTATGTGAATATTCAGTGTGTGCGAGCGTGTGTGTATATTGTGCTTAGCGTGATTTCACGCTATTCCTTGTTAGCGACTACATTTCGAGGTTGATAGTTGAAATCCTCTAGGAATAAGAGAAATTACCTCAAGGTATCAGTGCACAGGCCTGAAAGGAAAAAAGAGATCGAGCCGAAGGGTCATTGGCTATTTATAGCCAGGAAAGAGAGACCCCTGGTGAAAGGGTTACGAACTGAAGGAGGAGTTAATTCCGACAGGTTCAAGAAAAAATATAAATTTTAATTTTTAAATTTTTTTAAAAAGTTTCTCATTATCCCAAGAGGATACAATTCTTAAATTTAAAAAGAAACAAATCAAACGAGTTATTGTTTTCATTTATTTTTATTTGTGATTTAAAATTTTTTTTTCCATTGTTTTTCCATTTTTTCCCATTTTTTTGCAGCCTACGGTGCTAACTTATTCATTTTCTGGTGGCTATTTAGCCTTGTGCAAGGTAAGTAAATTGAATTTTTCTTTCTCTTCAAAGCAAACGCATAACAATTTTCTTTCCTGCATGAAGGACGACGACAATAATTATGAAAGTAATAAATGAATATACTGCTGACAAATAATCGTGGAACAGGGAGTTATTTCCCTTGATCTAAAGAAATAGTTCACTGAATAAAGGGAGAAAACAAATTTAAAACAAGTATGGCGTAATGGTTGTAGGTTCGGAATGAGGAATATCGAGATTGAGATCATTACATTCACTTACGCACATATCCCTTGGGTAAGGTATGAATCTATTTCTTCTCCACCAACTATGGGTTAAATAGCAGGACAGAATGGATGCTCTAGCCGTGTTTGACAACCAGTATATGAGAAGGACAACTATGAATTCAAAATTATATGCATCCATGGTGTGACATATACTAGAATTGTAGCAAGGTCCGCTCGGCATAGTAGGCGTCCGTTTACCTTGCATGATAAAGGTAGCGCCCTGTTTGGTTAAAATGCAGTCCTTTTGTTGATGAGACTAGAGTGACCTCTCCAGGGTGTAAGCCTGAGCGATGATATATAAAGACCATGTGCTGCCCAAACGACATGGTATCCCTTTCATTCTCGGCCGTACTGACAAGATCCAAAGGAATACAGGGCATTACATATGGGATCGGCTTGGCTGCAGGAGTTGCTGAAAAGTTATCAGTGTTGACAGCCAACCACCTTCTGTTTTTGGATATGATTGCATGTCAACTGAGGTTTAAAATCAGTGTTTTTGTTCCCCTAAATGAACTGCTTTCTTAGACTGTCGAGCTCTATCTACCCGAAGCAGCTGGTGATGAGGCACCAGTTGCCCGCCTTCGCCCATTCTCCGGCTTGGAGCTGGACTTAGTTGTCAGGTGCTATTTAAGACGCATGCCACGGAATCATTTTATAGACAAAACTTGGGTGCTGAAGAAACACAAATAGGTCTGAGCAGATGGACATGCAGAAAAACGAGCAGCCACACCGAAAAAATAGCCTCGTCAGATCAATACTTTCACATGGAGATCACCCATGACTCCAAAATCATTCAGAAATACCTAAACTGTCAGCTGTATACAACAGATTTTTCAGCTCAATGATTAAAAATAGCTTCAAAGGAATGAAGCGTGTAGGTCTTAGTGAGGACCATCTTTCTTCGAACCTTGTGGACTGATGTTACAGAATAACAAAGAATAAAATAAACCACACCACTTGAGGACTTTCAACAACAGCAACAAATAAAGCGAATAGCACATGTTACTCGAAGTAAAAATAATGACATAATGTTCACGTTGCACACTATTTCGAAGAAAAGGATAGGACTGAAGCCCCCATCAGTACTGGACACGAGAACCCTTTTCCCTGAAAAAATGTTTCAAGAGAAAGATCTTTTAAAATTCAACCGAAAGTACCACTGGCTGCTCGGTCAAAGAATACAGAATGTTTCCTTATAAGGAAACGGTTAATATTATCATTACCGATATCAGAAGAAAAGAAGTTCAAGAGGTTTAGACGTTGTAATTGATTTGTTGTTTTTTACGGCTTATCAACCTTTTGCGGGTTATTTAAAGCCAGATAATATTTTTTTTATATTTTAAGAATGTCTTTTGAGATAACAATGATTTACTGATATTACCATGATATACACAACCTACCAATTAACCCGTAGCTAGTTGGGGAGGGCAAAAAAGGTGGATTCATATTTTTCCCCAAGGGTATTTGCGCGGAAGTGAAGATAGCAAGCCCGACCGGAATTGAAACCCTGATTTCCTGTTCGTAGCCCTTATCCATTAAACCACACGCACATCCAAGTTTACAGCAGCTGGTATTCCCAAGCGGTCACCCAATCTAGGTACTAACCAATCTAGGTACTAACCAATCTAGGTACAAACCAAGCTCGAAGTTCGGTGATCGTACGAGACGCGGTGATTCAACGTGATATGGCCGTAAGCCTTTAAAGGTTGTGATAAAAATAATAGAGAAATTCAAAAGGATTTTAAGTGATTAATAATAATTAATTTATTGTTTGAAATTTTTATTAATGTGAACCATTTCTATTCAAATGCTTTCCACTTTAACTTCCTTTTGTTGTTGGTTGATTTTGTTTAGCGGCATATCAACATCTCTATGGGTTATTTAATGCCGAAATCTACGTATTTTGAACACAATGTTATGGTTTTAACCAAAAATATTTCGAACGCCAGATAAAATGTATTGCTGGTCATTTTACTATAAATATGTATTGTTGGTAATTTTTTATATAAAAGTGTACTAATGGTATTTTTACTATAAAATGTATTTTTATACTTTTATTGTGCTTTGTTTTTGTTTGGAGGTTTAGTATTTGCCCATAGCTGGGACCCTAACATGTGTTACCATCCTGGGCCAGGGTGAACTTTGGAACGACAACAGTTAAGATGTGGTTCCACGGCCCTCAAAACCTCCAATTTTCCGATCAGAAGCCTTGCTGCCAGATCGTCATACCCAGGATTGATAAATAGATAAATATAAACAGAACGAGTTAGATAGATAGATAGATAGATAGATAGATAGATAGTTGGTTGATTTATTATTTTTAGCGGTATATCAACCTCTATGGGTTATTTAATGCCGAAATCTAAATATTTTGAACACAATTTTATGTCTTGAACTAAATATATTTTGAACGCAATTGTATGTCTTCAACTACAGATAAAATGTATTGTCGGTCATTTTGCTACAAAATGCATTGTTGGTAATGCTACTATAAAATTGTATTACTGGTCTTTTCCCTTTAAAATTGTATTGTTAGTAATTTTTCTATAAATATGTAATATTGGTAATTTTTTTTATATAAAAGTATATTGCTGGTATTTTTATAATAAAAATGTATTTTTGTACTTTCATAGGTTTTTTTTATGAGTTCCTTATTTGCCCATAACTGGGACGCTAACAGGTGCTACCACCACGAGTCAGAGTGGAGCTGGGAAAACAGCAATTAAGAGGTGGTTTCACAGTCCTCAAAACCTTCAATCTTCGAGGCCTTGCTGCTGGATGTAGTAGTTTATCGTCATACCCAGGACTCTTTTGGGTGTTGTAGTGAGCATATTACTATTTGTATTAAAATCAAACGTTAAATGAAAGCCACGTTAATAGTAAACTTCAGCTACTAAACAAAATATTAGAAAACAAAATTACAAGGTAAATAAAATACCTGGTTACAATAAAACTATATATTTTAAAATACTTTAAAAATTAAAGAGAGATTTAAATTAAGTCAAATTAAGATGATTTTAACATAAATTTTAAAATGTATATTGGCCAATCAGTGTATAGCGTTTCGAAAATGTGTAGGGCTGTAAATACAAGACTTGGAGAACACGGATAGACAGTGACGCCACTAGATGGGGGCCGAGGGTGGTCTGCCCTGGGCGGCACTTTTATGGGGGCGTCACTTTTATGTCTGCTGTAAGCTGTAAGCCTGTATAGTCTGTATTAAAAAATTGGTTTAAATGTCGGGACAGTACTCCAGTTGAAGGACTTTTAAACTATGGCATATATATTGGCCTATCTATTGTAGGCTATTAATTACTCAACGAGGCTTAAACGGTCCTCTCTCACCAAGCAGAAAAACCTATTTACTTCAACTATCTCTGTTTGTTACTTTGAACAACACAAGCCACAAATCATCTACAAGGGAGTAAACAAACTTTTACTAATATTTTGTGTTGGGACATTTTATCCTTGTATGAACGCTGGGCATATTCATCCAAGAAATAACTTCGAGATTTCAAAAAGTTTCATGAACTTGCTGAGAAATATACTTCCCTTGTCCCGTTGAATCTTTTGCATGTTAAATATGAGTGTCAAAATGATCAAGACGACATTGATAAAGACGAGTTCCTTGTTGAGAATAAAAGACTCAATCATTTTATTGCTGTTGCTCCCATTAAAGACGGAATATAAATGTGGAAAGAAGGCCCCTTTGAACATTTGCAAAAGTATAACCTTGGGAGTTCGGTTCCAAAGTAATAATGCTGCAGATTTTCCTCACAATTGCTGTTAGTGTTACTACCTGTGGGGAAAGTTTTTCGAAACTAAGATTGATCAAGGATTACTTATGAGGACCTTGCGGTTGAGAAATCTTGCCATACTGCCTATAGAGCAACAATTGACAGATGAAATAGTTTTTCACTAAAAAAGAGTATACCCTGATGAAAAAGGCCCCAAACTTGATGTAAACAAAGTTTTATCGTCAAAATGTTTATGTTAGGATTAAGAAGTATTTTTTGATTATTTTATTAAATTTTTTCATCCTTTTTAGAATATTCGAAATTTTGATTAAAAATTTTGTTTCTCTTGCGTCGGTTGGGGTACCAAAGATTAGTATAGGATATTTTTAGCGTCTTTTTTGCAGTGATACACATTAATTTGGAAATTCTTGCAAAAATCAAATAATTATCAGATTTTAATGAAACTGTCAGAACTTATATTCACAAATGAATGAAATTATTTTAGAAATGCTTTTTTTAGAAACTCTTTGTAAAAATATTTTTTAAAATCTGTTATCTTCCACTTAATTTTATGAAAACTCAAGAAATACAGCGTTGTAAATTTTATTTATTAAAAGCAGAAGTATTTGAAAAATATAAATCATTCATTTATTTGGAAAATCGAATTACCCAGTTACCAAAAATGGGCTCTGAATTCTAACATAAAAGCCAATAAAACTAAGACATTATTAAATTAGAAATGCTTTTAATGACTTTTATGAATAATATATGTCAAGGATAATATTGCCTGAAGCAAAGAAATGAATTTTTACAAGAATTGTTTTGTTTTTTATTTTTTACAATTTTAATTAGAATAATTTATAAAGTTGTTAAATCTTTTAAAATTCAGTTTCAATCTCGTAAATTTTAGGAAATACTATTATTAAGTAAAATATTTTTACTAATCATAGATCTAAAAGCTTATTACAATTTGCAAACCACCAGTACTTAAAAAAGAATTTTACATTGTTTCTGGATGTGTATAAACATGCCTTTTTATAAATACGGATGTTCATGACATCATTAAAATTAACGTGTTTTAATGGCAGTTTAAAATTTCCTGAGATAATATAAAATACCATAAATTTTTATAAGAGATGTACGTAAAAATTGTAGGTACCTCTCTTATTTATGAAATTTTGTTATATTAATTTTTATATTATCTTAGTTATGAAATTTTAAATTTATTTTATTGTTATATAATATTTTAAATTTTATTATTATTTTTGTAGAAAGCATCTTCAAATATAAGTCTATATAGCTAAAGTAACTAATAATTAATAAAATATTAGATTGCTTAAAATATTTGTTAATTTGTAAAAATTATTGTGTAGTTAAATAAGTTCTCTTAAAATTCGTAAATTTTGTCACTTCTGTTCATCCACCCGAAGACTTCTCCTGATCTCAGCTGTCAATGCCATGAATCAACATCTGAGAAACGACTCACCGTAGCTAAGAAATGCTTATCTTATTTTCTACTGCGTTTTTCTGCTAAAAAAGTGAGCACTGATTGTTTCAAATTAGATTAAGTAAACTTTAAATTTTCTAATTTTACTCAAATAACCTTTGAAAAATGTATATTTTATTTTTATAAGATTTTTAAAACGGAGAATTTAACTTTTGTTTAGAAATGTCTCAAAATGGCAGACATCATCGATTTTGCTGAAAAAAAGGTTTTTTCCAATCAATATAAATTTGGTTCTAAATACTCCAAAGTATTTTGCTTACTGGGTATAGTAAATTTTATTCCTTTACCTTTGAATTATAGTTAAAAAGAAAGCTTCAAGAACGAGTTTTCATTTCTAAAATTAATTTGAAACTTATAGGTATGCCATTTTTCGACAAAATTAGTGGAGAGCCCTAGTTTTTGACAATGTCATTGAAGAATTTATCAACAAAAAAGCAAAAGAAGTTATTTTGTAGAATGTTGTAATTTTCGTTTCATAAATATAGTCCTGATTTTTTACACTATTTTCCTTATATGTGGCTTTTGCTTTTTAACCGTTACTGATAAAGTTTAAGTATGTTTAGTGTGGGAAATATTTGAGTATGTGAGATGGTACCCAAACTAATTTTTCTCTATCTATCTATCTATCTATCTATCTATCTATCTATCTATCTATCTATCTGTATATATATATATATATATATATATATATATATATATATATATATATAAAAAATTCACTGGGAAATAAATGGACCCTTAAAGTTGTCTGTTTTCAATGAATTAATTGCTCTGATTTAACAATGAGCTCTCTGGATTTCATCCTCCTTGGGATTATCCATACGGATTACCAAGATTTTCATTAACTATATATATATATATATATATATATATATATATAATTAACTATATATATATATATATATATATATATATATATATATATATATATATATATATAATTTTTTTTTAGAGTGCGTCACTGTGAAATATGTATATGGGTCAGGGACGGCAAACTCAAATGCTGCTCCGAGCGACATACTCGCTTTGCCACTGCGGGTAGAAACAGATTTATTTTATATTTATTCTTAACCAAGCTACATAGAACAAGAATTCTTAGCTTCCAATACATGATTCTAAACTCTGAGTTACGCATGCAAGTTGTTAGAAAAGAAAAGACCAGCAAAACTTCTCAATCATTAGTTTCAAAATTACAAAAATTGAAATTTTGATTTGAAAATCATTTACTTTTTTTTATATTCTTCTTTCAGTATGTGGTCAAAGAGTAGCCAAATATTTTCGGACGATAAAGTTTCGGAGCTGGACGTTTTCCTTCAGTAAGTTTATGGAGACTTGAATCGTTTTCACCTCTGGAAACCATATTCATAAAAAAAAAAAAGAAAAGGAGTAACGTTGTAATGCAAAATATTTTTTTTTGTATCCGCCTATCTTACCTTTTCGTCTTCATTTGCGCTTTTGTTACTATAGTTTGAACATTGCCGCGGGAATCACCTTTTTCGTTACGAGGTGTTGTGTCATTTCAGTAAATATTCAATGACTCCTGGTACATTTATCCCGCAAACAATTTGGCGGATTGATGTGAGTCCGGGTAAAGATAACAAATTTAAACAATGTAACAATAATAACAATAATTTAATATAATAATTATAACAATAATTTAAAACAAACGACAATTAAATACATGTTTTAATAGAAAGGAATCTACTGTTTACACTATTTACATTGGACCCTTGTCCTCATTTTTGTTGCCATATTTACATGGCCCAGTGGATAAAAGCGCTGGGTGAATCCAGTGACTTAACCCAAAGAGTTGTGAGTTCAATATCTGGCTACTGCAGTTGTGAACAAAAACTTGGAAAGTTGACTTAAAGAGAGATAACATCAGGAAGAGGTATGGCACGTGGAACTAGAACAATCTACCCCGGTGGACGAAATAAAGGGTTCATCTCGAAATTCCAAACATCTGAAAAAAGTCGAAGCGTACAACGGCTGACACATCTTGAATATGGCATCATGCATTAGGACAACAGTCCGAACAATGTAAATAGTGTAAATAATTACAATATCTCATCTTAGATCTATAGACAGATAAAGAAATCTACATAAATGTGTACACAATTGAAAGTAAAGGAAAAATTTAGCTATTAAAAATTTGCTCATTTGTGTGTACAAGCGTGTGTGTGAGAATTCAGTTGTCAGTCGACCGGGGAAACAAACGAGCCCCAGCGGAGACATCTTACCTACATTTTATTACATCTTGGAGATATTTTTATAATATCTCCACGTCGGTATTCAGTGATTTGTCAAACCAGCATGATCATAAAAAAAAATAGTTAACTTCTTTCTTTCTTTTTGGTATTGTTTTTGAGCATTTTCTTATTTAATTTGGTTTTTAAGCTCTTTCTTTCTTTCTTTCTTTCTTTCTTTACTCCGCGCTGGGATACCTCAAAATGATTTCCCGCTTTAATCCGCTTTCGCTTCGATCATCCTTGAAGTAACGACGATGTCAAAGCGTTTCGTAAGCCTTCTGTTGTTACAAGATAGAAGTGCTGATTTGTTTAACCTTTGACGTTGGAAGTCTTGCGCCTGTTATTTTTCGGGCGTCTATCGTTTGCGATCATTAGAATACTTTCAGTTTCACTTTCAATGTCAATATTTATTTATTTTGTTTCTTATTTTACTTGTTTTTTTTTTCTTGTTTTACGCTCTTTCTTTTTTTTTTAAATTTTTCTTGATTTTAAGCTCTTTTTTGTTTCTTTCTTCATTTGTTTTTTCTTTTTTCTTTCTTTCATTCTTTTTTCTTTCTTATTTGACTATTCAAAAGTTTTCTCTGTTTTTTCTTTCTTTCTTTTTGTTTTTTAAGCTTTTTCTTTCTTTCATTCTTTTTTCTTTATAATTTGACTATTCGAAAGTCTTTCTGTTTTTGTATTTGTCTTGATATCCAAAGCGCTTTCATTCTTTTTTGTATTTGTCTTGATATCCAAAGCGCTTTCATTCTTTTTTGTATTTGTCTTGATATCCAAAGCGCTTTCATTCTTTTTTGTATTTGTCTTGATATCCAAAGCGCTTTCATTCTTTTTTGTATTTGTCTTGATATCCAAAGCGCTTTCATTCTTTTTTGTATTTGTCTTGTTTTCTAAAGTTCTTTCTTTCACAATAATCAAAGTATTCTTTTTGTTGATTCTTTCAGGTCATTTTCTTCCTTTGTCATTTCAAAAGAACGTAGAGGAGTTACATAATGGTAAGCATTCATTATATGTCCACATATATAAAAAGCAATTCATATCAATTTCTATATATATATCTATGTGTGCGTGTGTGTGTGTAAAAAGCAACATAAATGTGATAATTAACTACAAGTGAAGAATTAATAATTGATATTAATACTAATTCTTCTAGGGTATTAGGATCATTAGGAAAATAAAGAATAAAAGCTATATTATTAGGACTGGATATTCTGTGACTAATAGTCTTCGTGACCTAATCGTTAATGCAGCTGCTCCGAATAAGTAAGTTTGCTGAGGAAGTGTGATATGTCTTTGAAGAGAATCAGTACATTTCAATTTTTGTAAAAGACAATAAACGCAAAAAAAAAAAAAGGAAAATATTTTCTCACTCTGAGTGTTGGCCTGACAAGCCGAGTGTTCTGTAACCGTAATGACGGCGGGAATTGCGATGAAAAGTAACAGAAATACTGCACCGACAGCACAAAGCACGGAGGAAGAAATTGAAAACTTTTATTGTACACTCAACAACGCCCAAACTCGATGCAAGTTGAAGGAAATTTATGGGAGACTTGTAGTATTGAAATAACGAGATGGTGAAATAGTTGACAAATTCAGACCAACAACCCCTAATGAACGGGAAAAATGCGTCCACTGCTGCATGACGAATGATCAAGTAGTAGTCAACGCCTAGTTTCAAGAACACACAAAACTTTTATGGACAGGGAAAACGAAGAACCAAATCAATTCCAGTAATATGTAACCTAAGAACGAGACAACAGAACTTGCAGCGGACCAAAGCAGCACTCAGATTGCAACACGGCAGATTCTTGAATGACCAGAGTTTGAAAGAGATGTATAGTAGGCATCCGTTTATCACGAGAGATAAAGGTTGCTCCCTGTTTGGTCAAAATTCAGTTCTTTGGTAGCGAGACTAGAGTGACCGCTTCAGGGCGCACGCCAGAGCGATGTTATATGGCGGACGTCTGCTGGCCAGACTGCATATTCCCTATCTCTCGGTCGTACTGACAAGATCCAAATTTTGTTTTTGGTTCCATCATTTTAATAACAGAAGCGATGGAAACAAAAACAAAACGAATTTAAATGAAATCTGGTAGATTATACATCCAAACCAATGAAAAAAATCATCTTTAAATTTAAAATTACAAGATTCTCACGTTCGTGCGCATGTGTAGCACATATGTAGACGTAAACATAAACTTAACCCGATGAAGTCCTAAAGGATGAAACACGGCACACGAAATCTTTTTTCACTTTGTCATACATCTTTCCCCAAAAATGTTCTTGATATATAAAAATGTATATATTCTTATCATATATATATATATATATATATATATATATATATATTGTTATATAGAAATAAAGTTTGAACATAGATCGCCAGTGAGCAAACACAGGCGATACCATTATTGAATTAAGTAGACCACGTGATCATAGAGGTAATGCATATATGTAGGAAGTAACTGCCTACTAACGATCTCTATTTCTACTCTGTCCTCTATTACTATACGGACCGCTATTCCTAGTCTATCCTCTATTACTATATGGTCCGCTATTCTCTATGCTTTACGCTATTCTCTATTCGGATCAGTACGGTAATTACTGTTCGAGCGAGTATTATCGAGCAAGTACTATTAGTGCGATATTCGAAGGCGTCTGACACCAGTATTGTTCAACGGCGTTACTATAATTGTATCTGCGATTACAAAGTCTCTACTACAACGAGCATTACAAAAGTGACAACAAGTATTCGTTGGCATCACAAAAGGGTCAAACGAGTGGTTATTGACATCATAATATATATATATATGCTAAAGCAAGAAAAAATGATCCCAATAAAACTTATTCATTCATTTATAAAGGTTGTTTTTTTCATTGACTGACGAAAAGTAGTAAAAAATACGACTTGACTCTCGTACTGAAAGGTTTGGGGTCGATTTATTATAACATGAGTACGGTTTTAACCACAATGCTTCTAAAACCCTCTATAATATTAAACAAGTATATAGTAGCTGAAGGATAAGACTGATCCGTTAATCTGTCGTGCGAAAAGTAGTAGCAGTTGCCCCCGTCACCTACCTACACCTAAACCATATCAAGTGAATTTATGACTAATATATATATATATATATATATATATATATATATATATATATATATATATTGGAAACATGAATTCATGTTTTCATTTCTTGCTGTGAAGTTTTTTTAAACCCCACATTTTTTTTTTACTAAAATTCATCCAGTACAAAGCCTAAGATACACTCATGGTAGACGATTACTTAATGAGTGATATGAGAAAGTGTTACGAAGTGAAGATTACGAAGATATGGCGGAGATAACTGCTGACCCGGGACTTGAAGAGGTTATGATTGTAATGTTCTTGGAAGTATCCACGCAGGAGTCTGTTCCACAAAGTAGCATTCGCAGTAGAAATCACTTCTTTCCGAAGGAATAGGTAAGAAATGGAGGTGATTCAACTGAGCCAGTGGTGCTAAAGAATGGAATTCGTTGAAACATTTGCCATAGTAATAGTGATAGAATAGTGAAAAGCTTGCGACATTTCATATGTGCGGAAAGAGTCTGCAGGGTGGAAAATAAGTCATTCCTCACAATTCTAGGTAAATGTCAAGGCTGGAAAGTGAGAATAGAGCAGTTCCAGCCCAGATATGACAATAATGCATTACAGAAGAACCTCGGTTCTCGAACGTCTTGCGTGTCGAACAAATTGGCTTTCGAACAGAAGATTTGAGAGGAAAATGCCTCGGTTTTCGAACAAAATTTCGGTTTTCGAAGAAAATTGCCGAATCGAGTTAACCCGAACAGAATCATTTCTGAGTCGACTGTCGTATTGTATATATTCGTGTTTGTGCCGTGCTTTTCTGTTCCAATTTTATTGTACTGTGACTTTTTTTCTCTACATTGATTCCTATTGGAATAGTTTCGGTTTACGAACATTTCGGGTTACGAATGGCCTTCAGGAACGAATTAAATTTGTCAACCGAGGTTTCACTGTACTCTGTTTTTGGAATCATTCGTTCCCTTGTGAACGTGTAGTATGACGCTGAAATAGATACGCACGCAATTCACAATGGACTACCAAAGAAGCCGGAGGTCAGTCCCGGCTACCGAATGGAAAAGCACCTGCCCTCACATCTTTCGATTTCGCAAACGTGGGAAATATTTCTAATACACATGGTTATATAAGCAACCAACACCATTCAGAGGATTCAGGATAGTCTTTCACACATTGGAAACAGAATGTTAGAACCACGATTCGGACGAGACTGTGGGGCTGTTTATATTACGAATCGAGGAAGACAGATGCTGAATAAATGTACCGTTAAACACGAAAGATTCAAGTCTTGTGTTATCATAAGTAGTTAGGCACAATTTGTTTCATTATAAACGTACACAAGGCTTTTTCCAGTTTTATAATTCATATCGATGCAAACTGGAGTCCAAACACAACGCGGGGGATTTGTTGACATGCATACTAAATCGTTGGCTGAATGTATAGGTGTGTTTTGGAAACTCATTGACAGGTGTAGAAACTACTGAAACAGCAGTTATAGATTTAATTATATTCTCACTTCTTGCTATTGCATCATTGACTCGCGGGTGTTTTATCTGAACTTTAGCGCTGTCAATGCTGGATTAAGGTGATTACCTACAAACCTATGGCTTAAAATTTCCCCACAATCTGTCTTCCGTTTATTTATTTCTTGACTTTTCAACCATATCACATTTCGTTTTCTAACTGGCTTAACCGAAGAGTGTAAGGATGGAAGTGCCTGACATGGCTTTTCATGATTCAGCAATTGTCATGTATGACCTCATCGCAAGCAAAGGTTGGTCAGTTTTGTGGTCATCCACTATTCATTTGTTTGTGAATTAGCATGCGTCCGAGGAAAAGAAAAAAACTCTATCGATGTATGTGTACTCATACGAGTTATAAGTTACAGTGTAACACACACACACACACACACACACACACACACACACACACACACACACACACACATATGTATATATATATATATATATATATATATGGCCTTAAGGTTATATTTACCAGGGTAATGTTTTACTATCCTGGTATTTCCTTTCAGGTACGCCTCTCTCTTCTGTAGTTTCCAACTTGTTAATGATAGAAGTGTTGTAGTGGAGTCATTTGTAAAGGGATGTTTTCTTTTCTTTATTAGTAAGACAAAGGTAGCAGTGTGTTTTTTTTTTAGTTTTGTTGAAGTTTATTTGACTTGAAATTATAGCGAAAAATACATTTATTGGAGAAGACAAAATTTTATATATATATATGTATATATATATATATATATATATATATATATATATATATATATATATATATATATATATAATTAAATGTATATATATAAGCATTATATATATAAACATAATATAAATACATATATACAAATGAACATAATATATATAGAAACATTATATATATAAATATAATATATATATATAAATAAATATATATATATATATATATATATATATATATATATATATATATATATATATATATATATATATATATAGGCATAATATATATGTATAAAATGCATAATATATATATATATATATATATATATATATATATATATATATATATATATATATATATAGGCATAATATATATGCATAAAATGCGTGGGGATTCAAAACCCCATTGCACTAAGAGAGGGTGAGGCTGGTCGAATATCAACGATATCAGTACAGTCGTCGCAGGGATTGGGCATTTCTAATAAATGATTTTATTATAAAAATGCATTGTAAATTATTTTATTATAGGAAAGCATTGTAAATGATTTTACTGTAAGATTGCATTGTAAATGATTTTACAATAAGAATACATTGTAAATAATTTTAATATAAGAATGCATTGTAAATGATTTCATAATAAGAAAGCATTGTAAATGATTTCATAATAAGAATGTATTGTAAATGATTTTACTATAACAATGCA